ATATATATATATATATATATATATATATATATATATATATATATATATATATATATATATGTATGATGTATCAGATTTTCCTTTTTTTCTTTAGTAGAAAAATATACAGAGACTTCTTCTCTCACTATTTCCTCTGATTTTCACTTTCTCTATTACAACTTCAATTCACTCGTTATGACCTCCATTAATGGAGGTTGAGCTGTGACTGAGTTCAGCTCAACTCACATGGTATCAGAGCAATTGATACTGGTTGCTTCTTAGTTGAATAATTCTGTGTTTGTGTGGTTCGAATTTTCGCTCAAAGCCCAGAGATGGCGGAGGAGAAAACTGATCACACTCATCCTTTATTTCTGCATCCTTCTGATATGCCGAGCTCGTTTTGATTCCAATTCAACTCACAGGATCTGAAAACTATGGATTGTGGCAAAGGACGATGCGAATAGCTCTTCAAGCTAAGCGAAAACTAGGTTTCGTAACTGGTAAGTGTAAGAAGGAGACCTTTAAGAAGGAATTGCATGAGGAATGGGAGACATGTAATGCGATTGTGCTCTCATGGATCTGAACACTGTATCAACAAACCTAGTTAGTGGAAATAGTTATGCATCGGATGCACACCTAGTTTGGGAAGATTTGAAGGAGAGATTTGAAAAGGTGAATGGAGTTTGAATTTTTCAATTGCACAGAGAAATTGCAACAATTTCGCAGGGAACTGATTCTGTGGACTCATATTTCACTAGACTGAAGGAGATGTGGTCGGAGTATGATGCCCTAGTTCCCACACCTGGATGTGATTGTGCTAAATCTAAGGATTACATTGAGCACCTTCATCGTCAAAGGCTGCTTCAATTTCTCAGTGGTCTGAATGAGACTTATGAACAAGCAAGGAGACAGATTTTGATGAAAACTTTTTGAACCAACCTTGAATCGCTTATGCGTTGATAATTGAGGATGAAAGCCAAAGGTCTGGTCCATACCCAGCCTTGGGAGTCAGAAGAGATCCTATTGCTATGCAGGCTGGACGAGGACAAGGTTACAAAGGAAAAAAACCATTCATGAAGTGTGACTATTGTAAGATGACTCGTCATTTGAAGGAAAATTGCTACAAGTTGATAGGATATCCTGCAGACTTCAATGCTAAAAAGAAGGTTGTAGCCAATTATGCAACTGGTAATGCTGAGCATGAGGAACATCCACATGTAGCTGGTGGAAAGGCACACAATGATGATTCTGCAAGAGGTCATTTGTTTACTGAGAGTCAATACAAACAGATTCTGGATATGCTGAATAAGGATACCACAGTTCCACAAGTCAACATGGCAAGTATTGCTACTGCATTAATGACTGAAACTTCTTGTAGAGAATGGATAGTTGATTCAGGTGCAACTCATCACATAGTAGCTTCCCTAGACATATTGCATTCTAAGACTGAATTGAAAGTTGGTAATGATCAAGTTCATTTGCCTACTGGTGAGAAGACAAATATATCTCATATTGGTAGTGCAACATTTCTTCATGATATGGAGATTAAGAATGTGTTATATGTTCCTGATTTCAAGTTTAATTTGTTGTCTGTGTCAAAACTCACAAAGGAACTCAGATGCTCTGTCCACCTTTACCCTGACTTCTGTGTGTTTCAGGACCTTTGGAGTGGCAGGGTGAGGGGGATTGGTAAGGAAAAGGGAGGTCTGTATGTGGTGAAGGATGAGCACATTGCTAACAGTCTGAGGCAAGCATTAGTGGCAACAGTTCAGAAACCAGCAGTAGATGGCATCCTTTGGCACAAAAGATTAGGTCACACCTCCGTTAGTACAATGAAAAACATAGATTTCTTACAACTTAAAGATCTAGATGATAATAAGGATTGTTCTGTATGTCCATTGGCTAAACAAAGCAGGTTAGTTTTTCCTAGAAGTGTTTCAAGAAGTAGGAGTCCTTTACAGCTTCTACACATGGATGTTTGGGGACCATACAAGTTTCCCACACATGATAGGAAGCACTATTTTCTAACAGTTGTGGATGATTGTTCCAGGTATACCTGGGTACATTTACTACAAGTGAAAAGTGATGTAATAGTTGTGTTACAAAAATTTCTCTCTATGCTAAGAACACAATTTGATGTAGCTGTTAAAATTATTAGAACTGATAATGGAGGAGAGTTCTTTAGCAAGCAGTGCATTGATTTGTTTGAACATTATGGCATTGTACATCAAAGTAGCTG